CATTGTGCAGGGTCCAGAAGCAACTTGATTCAAGGGTTAGTGGCGGATTGGAACACTTAAACAAGTGTTAGAAAATTGGACAACAAATCCGTCACTAATTTTGTCACTAAAGCCGCCATTTATTATTTTCTAGGCTAGTTTAAATTTTTGCAATCTCTCTTGTATTTTAAACCAATTTGTAAAGCTTGGAGGGAGTATTAAGAAGTTGTTCAGGTATATCTAAACCCTTGGTAACCTACTCACGTGTAGTCCTAGTGGAAGTGGCTTTGGAATTTTTGCAATCTCTCTTGTATTTTAAACCAATTTGTAAAGCTTGGAGGGAGTATTAAGAAGTTGTTCAGGTATATCTAAACCCTTGGTAACCTACCAACAATGATGATAGGCAGTAGTCATAAAGTCTTTAGACAGTGTAGTGTCCATTCATGGCATCAATGTCCAAACCCCTTAGCTTGGCAAATGATTCCACTCTGCCTTTCAGAGTGTGAAGCTCTCTCAGCCTGCATCAAAAGGAAGAAAAATAATAATAAGGGGGAAAAGAAAAATCATGAAAAGGTTAAATAAAATGAAGAAACAGTTTGAAGATGAACAAAGACTCTGACCTTGCTATCTCTGCTCGCCTCCTAGCCTCTTCTGCCAATGTATTAATTTCTCTGAAGGTGTGGTGCTTCTCTGTCATCCCTTTTGACTCAACAGAGTGGAGGCCATGTAAGGTTCTCTGCTCAGTAGCCCATGCAGCCTCACGAGCTTCTCTACCGAAGTCATTTTTGTTGATGAATGCAGTCTGTTAATTTGCACAAACAAGAAGTCATATATAACTATACGAGTATACTAATCATTGTATGCGTCTCATGGACTATAATAAACCATCTGGCATACTTATGTTTTGAACCCATTTCATGTTAGACATAACTGTTTGGATAAATTTATCTAAAAAGCACTTCTAAGAAAAAAAAAGAAGTAGGAAGGATAAATGAACTACATTTCTTCATAAATTGGCTTATGCATAAGCTAATTTGTTGAAGCTCTCCTATATAGCTTTTCCAAAATATTATAAATAAATTTATAAAAAGTTTATTTCATTTTTCCTTCATATTTTTCCCTCCCAAAAATGTTTCTAGAGAAATTTATCCAAAAAGGTCCAAGTTCATTTATTTTCTGCACAATTTTTTGCTGAAATTTATAACAGGTTTAGTCATGGTACTCACTCTTTGGTCTACCACCAGATTCCAAGCCCTTCCACTTAATGCATAGCGAACTGCAAACTTTAAAGGATCTAGAAATAGGTAAGTTACAATATTGTATAGCCAAATCACTCCTGTCCAGCCCCAACCAATACGTGTGATCCCAGCAACTTTCCAAGTGAGAGTGGCAGATATAACAGTTGCAATCTGTTGAGAATACACAGTGAAATGTAATAGTGAGGCTTTCCACTGAGCAAGTGCAAATAGTTTTAGAGGTCTGAATAAGTAATGCAGGAAAGGTTGAGAAAACCATATACCGCTTGAGCAATGATGAAGGCAGTGACAAGCAAAAGACCAGGTCTTTCTGTGTAGGACCAACCCCTTGATCGTGTCACGAAAATTAAGGCTTGACTAATTGTACTAACTTGAAGATAGACAGCAGATCCCAACATTGTATTCGTTGGATCACCGTTAGGAGCTTCTGGATCATAGTGAAAGTGTTTCACACCAAAATGGTTCTGTGGCAGAATTAATAATTCATTGTCATATCATTGCATGAAAGAAAAAGAAAGTAGTGGACAACTTGAAAGAAGATACTCACAGGAAAGAAATTTGTTTCGACAGCTATATAGAAGAAGATCACAGTCATTAGAGTCAGATAGCTACCAAGAACAATCCCAGTTGTAAAAATTTCACTAAGCTTCCAACTATCAGGAACTGGAGAAGGCTTAACCCTATCTTTAGATATTGTCATGATGGTACCTACAAGGATGCTAACAAATTAGGGGACAAGAAAGAAAGTATTTCATCTAATGGCCATCAAATTATAATGAGACTTGAGATTAAGTTACTAGAAAGTAGCTAATATTACCATCATTGAGAATGGCAATGACAAGAACCATAAAGGGAGGAAAGTCAAATTTCCAAAAGCTGTTCAGTAACATGAAACCAAGCTGAAATGATAAAAAAAAAAAAAAAAGAGATTCAAAATTAGAAGAAGGCTGATTATCAGGATCATTCTGAATATATTCTTCATGTACAAAAAGCTTACCACAATACGAATAGTGATAGATATAGCATATATCTGCAAAGGAAAAGGAATGAAAAAATCATGATTTGTTGTCCCGCTGAAAAAAAGAGCGTTGATGATACTTTCTCTAATACTTTTTCTATCATTCTTTTTTATTAGTTAAAATTTATTGAAAATCACGAATTTTGTAGATTCGAAATTATTTAATGAGTTTCTCTCTTAATTTAGTGATAAGACCTATTAACATTTGTGATTTTTAATCAATCTTCAAGAATGCTAATAAGAGAGTGATAGAGTGAGTGTCAAATTTCTCAAAAACAACTATTTTCACTTTCATATGTTGATAGGAGTAGATGGATTACAGTGTAATTTTTCATTCTCTGGAAAATTGCACGGCTAGTTAAAACTGCACTTATGATCACACTCAACCCAGGTTCTGTTAGGACTATGTCAGAAGCACTTCTGGCAGCATCTGTAGCATCTGCTACAGCAATACCAATGTCTGCTATCTTTAGGGCAGGTGCATCATTCACCCCATCACCAGTCATCCCACAAATGTGCTTTCTAGCTTGTAACCTCTTCACAATCTCATACTTGTGCTCTGAGGGAAACACAGATGATCAAAAAGGGAACAAGACATTAAATTAGAGCTCGCTAGTCCCTAATGATAACCTCTTTCTTGGCTTACCAGGAAAGACTCCAGCAAAACCATCAACATTCTCAATGAGATCATCAACGGCAACAGCGCCCAATCCATCTTTATTTTCACCCAGCAGTGATGAAGAAGGATACATGTTGGTGCCCATCCCTAGACGTCTTCCTGTTTCCTTACCTATTGCAAGTTGATCACCTGAAAGGTTGTTTTTTGTTGCATCATAATATGAGCATCTGATCAGAGTTTTCTTATGTACATCAGAATTAAATTAGCGATTCCAAGAACACAAGGACAAGTTTATTATATATAGAGGTACAATCTCTCACTAATGGACAAAAACTAGCAAAAACTTGTTCATATGTTCGCTAATACCCAATGAGATAGGTCTTGCTATAGAAATAAAAATTTTTAGGGTGTTCGAAATGTAGCTAAATGTCATGTTAAGTCATCCAATTTTAAGTTGATTTGTTTAATGGACTTTCTTCAGTTCTCCAATATCTAGGACACATTGTTTTGTATGAATAGTCTAAATAATATCAATTAAAAAATTAATGAAAGCAAGGCTCTAAACTATCTATCAATCTGGTATTGGAAGGTCCTACATTCACATCCTCAATTCTTGATCTTCAAATCATATATCTATTGGATAATTTCACTTGATGTCAATTGATTTTAAGGTGAAATCTAACATATTACGAGAGCCTATAGTTCATATTGGTAAATCACCTATTATGGTAGGCTCATATATTCTGGTAGACATATGTGGAGGGGAGATGTTAGAAGATCCTACATCGCTTGTCTCAATTTTGAAAGTACATTTTATATATTTGTTGAGTAATTTCACTTAATATCATTTTGTTTTAAGATGAAATCAAATATGTCAACAATTAGGATTATTCTAGTAGTCCTTCTATGCATGAATAAACCTTCTTTAAATACAAACTAGAACTAAGAATAATACTGAATAGTGATAATACAAGAATAAGTTTTCAAAATAGATGGCGACATTTATAATGTTCTTCACTCAACTTATAAATTCACTTGAATCATGCATGGTTTTATGTCTATAACTTGTTTTTTCAGAGAAACATTTCCATTAAAAAAGTTCTTATTGTAAAATTCAACCAAGATACTTGTAATATCTTAAACGAAATCAAGTAATAGTGACACATACCAGTGATCATTTTGACACTCACGCCAAGATCTAGAGCTCTTCTAATTGTTTCTGCACTATCATGGCGAGGAGGATCAAAAAGAGGGAGAAGGCCAACAAACTCCCATGGTCCTCCAGGACTGTCTTTAGTTCCCTCAGGTACTTCCTAAATTGGAGAAAATTTTCATCGTTATAAAAAATAATTTTAATAACTATACCTATTAAAAACTTTCATACTGCCAATCAATCAAAAATTACTTTGATATAAATTTTAAGATAGTTATTATAAAACTTAATAAACTTATCATACATGGTGATTTGTGATTGGGTGAGAATATAAAATTATTCTATATTAATGAGATGATGGAGAATTCATTGGACAAACCTGGCGGGCAACTGCAAGAGAACGAAGTCCACGTTCTGCAAACTTCTCAATAATTGCATGAACCCTCTGTTGGATTTCTGATTTGTTATATGCAAGATTGAGAATCTACACAGTATAAGAGTTAAATAATCAGAAAATCTAGTTGGTAACATGGTTCTTAGAGTTAGAATGGATTATCTGCCACCTGCTCTGGTGCACCTTTGCTAACCCTGTGCATTTTACCAGAAGCATCAATGTATGTAAGTGCAGTTCTTTTATCCGTTGGATTGAATGGAAGGAAGTGAACTTCTTGTATTCCGGCTCGTGCCTTACAAAATTAAAGGACCATTAGTAGACTAACCAAGTTTCAACTACAATCTACAGAAGAAGGTGGAAACTTGCCTTGCAGAATGCTACACTACGAACAATGAAAATTTCATGTATGTTAACATATAAGCTATCATCTACAAATTTATAAAAATTATGGAATTCACTGCAAAAAGAAAGGGCAAAAGGCTTCAGTGTTGTTAATCTAATAAGGAATTTTTGGACTTGTACCTCCTTTGGGTCTGCCAACATTGAAACTATAGCACAATCAATTGCATCTTGGTTCTCTAGCCTTGATGCTCTTGCAGCCATAAGGACAACCATATCACTGTCCACATCTTTAACAAAAACCTGCCAGATGTGATAATTGTTGGGAAAAAGAGAGTTAGCATTTGAGATTATGGATGCCATACATAGACAAATACTTAAACACCACCACACATAATTATTTATATGTACTTATATGTGCAGGTCCCTTGTATGAAAAGGATTTTTTTTTCTGTGCTATATCATAAATTTTATGTTGATTGTCAATTATTAGGCATCACTATCATTTTCCCATAATATGTCATCATTCATGAAAGCAGGATATTTCTTTAAGAAATTGAGTACTCTTGTTTCAGGAGTGAAATAGAATAGTTGTCCTTGAAGGATTCTCCCATGTCATGTACAATACATATTTGTACAATACATGACACTTTACATTCTGATTTACCTGTTTCCATACTTTTGGAAGATATGAACTTTATATCAAACCAATTGTTATAGAGTTTTATTGTAGGAACTAAGAAGAATAAAGTTAAGACCTCAATGATATTCTTGTCCACAGAAAGCTTGTTAAGAGTTAATGTTCCTGTTTTGTCACTACATAACACATCCATTCCAGCCATCTCTTCAATGGCAGTCATTCTCTTTGTTATGGCACCCTGCAAAGGATGTACCAATTATAGTCATTAGCTCAACTGCAAAATGATATCAAAAACTTAAAAAATACTAAATTCTTATGATATAGCTCAATTGATTGAGCATGGTGTGAGTTGTTGCGAATTCCTTGATACCGAGTTCGATTCCCATAAAAATAAAAAAATATTGAAATGTTCAAATCAACGTTCTAAGTGTAGCTTCACAAACCTGCTGAGCCAACTTGTGTGAACCAATAGCCATTGTAACAGAAAGAACAGTTGGCATTGCAATAGGGATGCCACCAATCAATAGCACAAGGAGGTTATCAATACCATTTCGGTAGTGCTTTCCGTGGATTGCATATATCACAATGATTTCAATAATCATCCCAACAGCAATTGAACAGATGCAGAAGTTCCTAGTAGATGTGAGAACCTGTAACAATTATGTGATGTCACTGAGCATTATCCTGACAATATTTCTCACGGAGATGTTTTACTTGAGACAGAAAACACTCTTTACACAATATTAAGGACACACTACAAATCCTATATATGAACCTTCTGGAAATGTCCAATATGTGTTGTGTTTTCCACAAGATGAGCTGCCTTCCCGAAAAAGGTGTGAACTCCGGTTGCAATAACTACTGCCTCAATTTCTCCTTGCTTGCAAGTTGAACCAGAATATACTCCATCTTCAGGATTTTTGGTGACAGGAAGTGACTCTCCAGTAAGAGCAGACTGAAATACATAGAAAAACATATGCAAGAGGGTCATGTGTAAGATGATATGATAAAGCATAATATTAGTAACGATCTATGAAGCAGTGACTCAGACATGGACACCCGACATGACTCAGACACCAACTAATTTCCAAAAAGTAGGACATGACATGATAATGATCCATAAAAGATGAACTAAATTTTTTAAAAGTTAAAACAAAGAGTAAATTTTATGAAAATGAGCCTCACTATGAATAAAAAAATGTCACCAACCTTACATATATATTAATAAGTTGACTTCTGATTTTTTTTTTTTAAATAGGAGGGTTAGATGAGTGTTTAGTTAAGAATATGAATAGACTCACACTTTTGACTCGTGTCCAAGTCGTGTTAGAAGGGTATTAAAGTTATGTTAGAAAGGTTTCCAAGAAAAAATAAATTTAATTGTGACACATTAGAGAGGTGTCAGACGTGTGTCAAGGCCAAGACGTGTCTGACATATATCATGTGACATACGTCGACATGGAATTCTATCGGTGTTTCATAGGTAATGAAGTCACATCTCATCTATCTATGCATCAAACACTAAATTTCTTATCCATGTAAAAATGATATTTCTTATTTAGTTCACATATTCTCTTAGTCTAACTTAGTTGATATGGAAAAACCTCAACCATTAACAGCCAATTTTACCTGATCAATCTTCAAAGGATCGCCTTCAAGGAGACGTGCATCAGCAGGAATGATGTCACCAAGCTTGATGCTAATTATGTCTCCAGGAACCAACACTGAAGCTTCTTCTTCACTCCATTTTCCATCGCGAAGTATCTGTTAATGTAATTAGATGTCAAAGGAAACGGAAACAAGACAAGATAACAACGATATTGGAAGAGAAATCTGAGAGGAAAACAAAGCATGCAATAATGATGTAGCAAGCTGCTATAAAGTAAGTAAGAACCTTTGCTTTGGGGGCTAATCTAGCCATAAGGGCAGCAGCTGCATTGCCAGCATTGTTTTCTTCTATGAAACTGATGGTGGAGTTTATAAGTAGCAAAATAACTATGCCAGCAAAATCTTGATAATCTCCTCCTTCACCCTGCAGAATTATGGAGTTGTTATATTACATTTTTTGGATGATTGATTGTAATTTCTAACCACAGTTTTCAGAAAAACATAAACATTCACTGATTGATAATGAAACATGACTTTTAAATTCAAACTTGTGACAATATATAGAATTGTTACTACCAAAAACTTAATCTTGTATTACACTGTCCTTTGTAAAATTAATATTTGTAACTTCCAAGTTAGAAGTAACAAAAGGAATAGGATGAAAATAGTTTCACATTATCTACAAGAAAAAGCGGAGAATATCAAATTTGTCCATGAAATTATAATCATTGGTCATTTTAGTCTTTGGAATTTAAAAAATAATAATCATCCCTAAAATTGGCAACTGTTGGTCATTTTAGTCTTTCAAGTTAGAATATGTAAATTTGATTCCTGACTTTGGAAACTATTAGTCAATTTGGTTCCTGATTTTAATGTGTATCATAGTTTGTTTAGATACAAGTTTGAAAGAGATTTTGAGAGTTTTTTTACTAAAAAAACTTTATTTTTAGCATAAAAACTCTCAAAACTCTTCTAAGTCTGTATCTAAAGAGACTCTCAATCAATTTGGTCCCTAATGTCAGAGCCAAAATTGGCTAATGATTATAATATTTGGGGACTAAACTGACTGGTTTGGTAAGGTTAAGGAACAAATGGACTAGTGTTGCCAATTCCATGAACCAAATTGATTGAAGTTGCCAAATTCTTATTTTATTTCATTAATTAAACCTGGGAAAACCATTGAAAAAAATTGAAAACTCAAAAATAATGGTGAAGATTTACCCCTCCATGTGCCATGGCTATGGCCATGATAGCAGCAGCTTCCATAACCCATGACAGAGGATTCCACATAAAGCCCAAAAACTTTAGTATCTTGCTTTCCTGTACAAGTAATCAAAAGCACGGATGCTATCCATGAGAAACCTGAGCAAAAATTTAGAAAGGAAATGAGAAACTAAAAGCGTTGAAGTTAGGCTTTTAACCTTCTTTTCTTCAAGCTTGTTGTATCCAAACAAGTCTAGCCTCTGTTGTACTTGCTCAGAGCTTAAACCTTCTTTTGTGCATTTAAGATTTTCAAAAACCTCCTCAAGAGGAATGTTCTCCTACATAGCACAAATTCCAAGTTCATCATATGCTTATTAGTGTGTTTCACCCCCTTTGTACTACCAATAATCATAGAAGCAAATTTCAAAATTGTCATCCTACTTTCCTATTTATTTTGTATTTCTCCATATTTTGGGTTTGTACTAAGAAAAAAATACATAGAAGAAACATAGGAAGTAGTATATTTCATTTTTCAATCTACAATACCAATAAGAAAAATCTTATCCCACTAAGTAAAGTCAACTACATGGATCACATCACGTTATTCAGAGATAACATTTATTTATAGACATTAAGTCAAAATTAATTTATAGATCACACTTATTTTATAAATAGAAAGTGCTTAAAAGCTCTTTATTAGACAAGTATGCTCTCTCTCTCTATATATATTCTTATTATACACTTATCTGATTAAACGCTCTCTTAATTTTCTGTATTTTTATAAAGGATGTTTTCTATCTTAACTTATAGTATAGTGAAAACAAGCAATTCAAACACTTTTTTGAACAAAAGCAAAATGACTTGAGTGATAAAAAAATAACTAATCATAATTAAATAATCATTGAAAATTTTCATGTAAGAAATAACAATGTGTTTTCAGCTCCAAATGAGGAGGAATAAATAAATTCTGGGCAGATAAACCATGACATAAATAAATAAACAAAACTTAAGACATTATTTGGTACAACTGAGCATGCCATGAAGGTATTTTAATTTCTATTATTTATTTCACATACCAGATCAACAGCTTCATTTATAATAGCCTCAAGTTCCACAGACCCCTCTCCCATTTTCCCTCTCTCTGAAGCTTCTTTATCTTCTACTCTCTTCCCAGCAAGCCAATAAGCACTTCTGATCTCTGAGTCACAATTAGAACCCTTTAAATGTAGATTGATGAAGTATAGCAACAAAATATAACACGTGCCAATGCCCCAAAACAATTTGTACAAGTCAAGACAAAGTAATATATTTGAAACCAAAGATAGAGAGAGATACAAATTCACAGGTCTCTTAGTTCACATTGTGAGTTCTAAACTATTGGATTATGCGACCCCACCAAAGTTGTGAGCATTACAAGAAATGTACCTCTCAAAGAGTTTTGGTAATCTCTCCAAATCCTCTTTCAAAACTCATGTGGTTGATGACATTGCAAGAATGGCACAAGTATATGTATATATACATAGAAAGAGAGAGGAATATGAACCAATGCACCATGTGTGCTTAGAATATATAACAAGAATGACAAAAACTATAAAATTACAAAGCTACAAAAACAGGTATTTGCATTTATAACTCCGCCGGCCAGCTTCTACAATGGCTGTATTATACAAATCTAGAGTTACACTAAATTAGCTATTTTTGCCGTCATGTTAATTTATTTAGTTTTCTTTTACCTTTGAATCCAATGTTCATTACCATAATGGATATTAATCCGTACATGATATTCTGGAATATGTACTTTATGAGTGACATATGTTTCTATATCAACTAATATCAACTAAAATAATACCATTTGATACGGTCACACACCAATCACATTTAATTACGAGCTCATTTTTTGTTCTTTTGCTAATGTAGTTAGTGTTGCCAGGAATCACTACCTTGTGTTTCATTCTTAGTGTGTGTCTATTTTATATTTCTTTACTCAAAATAATATTATTCAATGTGGGACCTTTTACAATTACGTAATTATGTGTTTACTAGATTACGGGAAAATACAAAAAGGTTTTGACGACAATAAGCAGCTTATGAATCAAACATTTTTAATGATAATGATATGTTTGTTTAATTTTTTATAAATACACATTAATTTTAATTTATATAACTAAGTATCAAATAATATTCAAACTCTCTAGGAATTTGAAAACTTGATTTATTCATTAAGAACTTTTAATATAGTAGTTGAATTGTTAAAATTCAATATATATGATGAGTTATATTAAATAGAGTAATTATACCAAGAGAACCTGTCTAATGTGAGCATGTCTTATTATGAGATATGAGAGAACTAAATAATAACCTTTAAATTATAGATAAAAAATAATTAATGATTAAATCAATTCCAATATATAAAGTATGAATGACTATTATTATTTATCATAATTATTTATGAATTAAATTTTAATATTTTTAAAATAAATAATCAATAAATAAAAATAATTTTGTGCTATAATATAAATTATTTTTCATAAATTTAAATATAATTTTACATATATATATATATATATAGTATTTTTATATACATAATTTATTTTAAATTTTAGTTATATATAATAAGCATTTAGCTTTTGCATTGCACAAATTAAAATACCAATTAAACTTAAATGTACACACTTGCTTGTTAAATCATTACTATAGTCACCTCCTTAACTATTGCTATCTACTATTGTCATTACCATTACTACCACTATTATTATTGTCACCATGTAGTGGACAGTAGAAGCGATAATAGTGGCGATGTAGGGTGGTAACAGTGTTAACGATAATGATGATGGTATCACCGCCAACACCACCACCTATTTTTGTCACTATCATCACAACCACTATTGTTGTTGTTGTCATATTATCGATAATAATAATAATTTTTTTATTAAAAAATGGGGCTAAAAAAGAGCCCAAACAAAAACTAAAAATCACGAGCGTAAATTACATTTGAAGAATTAGCAAATAAAACAAAATGCTCCCAAGGAGGGGGAGAATTAAAAACTAAAATATCTTCTAAAATAGATAGACCCTGCTTAGCAAAATGATATGCAACTTGGTTGGCTTCCCAAAGAATATGAACACACTCCACATTATGATTATCACCCGCCATATGAACTACATGGTTGACCAAAGAATAACATGGATTTTCTTTGGGACAACCTTCATTAAGGAACTTAACTACAATGATAGAGTCTAACTCAATTAAAATAGGGGCATAAGTTCCCTTCTCTTTTATGATCCGAAGCCCATGAAATATAGGCCATAGCTCAACTTCTATCATAGAGCATCTTCCCAACATTCTAGGGAAAGCAAAGACGAAATTTCCCAAACTATCTCGTAGTACTCCACCACAAGCTGCAGAAAAAGCACCTGACACAACTCCATCACAACTAAGCTTCAATGTTCCCTCGGGAGGACACACCCATCCAACTAAGATAGGTGGACATTGATTCAAACTAAAAATCTCATTATCAAATACTACTTTTGCTAGCTCACCCACCCTAGCTTGGATTTCACCCACTATCATAAATGCATTGAAACTTGCATGCTGGAAAATCACCGCATTTCTAGCCCGCCAAATAGAATCCAAAACCACTCCAAATAAAAGACACTAGTGAGGGTTTGCATGAGTCAAGTTTTCATCCATCCACGTCCATAAAGGGATAAGGAAAAACTAATGTCGCACTTCTCGCCCTCTAATGATTTGCCAAATTGTTCGGGATAGGTTGTAGTCCCGTAGAGTATGTAGAATTGATTCACAAGGATCATTGCACAAAGGGCAACATGCATTGCTTGTGAGTCCTCGTTGAGCACGCCATTCATTTGTATAGAGGCTAGAGTGAGCGGCCCTCCATAATAGACATCTTATCCTATTATTTTATGAATTATCAAATAGTAAAAACTTATTTGATTGGTAGAAGGAATGGGGAGGCAAATTTATAATGATAGGCTTAGTTAAGAAGAAAACTAGTTTAAAGGAATAGTTGGAATAGATTTGAGTAGTGAAAATGACTTACTAGTTACTTGAATACAAATGTTGGGTACATGGCCTATTTATAGGCCTCAACACCACATTCATGTTTTATGTAGAAAATTCTAGAGATATCTATTTCTAGAGTTTTCTATCTATATGTAATTATCTACATGATTCTAGAATTTGTATCTAGTAGTTACTAGCATACCTATGTATTTTTCTATAAGAATCTAGATTATTCTAGAAGTTTGTATCATATTTTAACACTCCTCCTTGATACAAATTTCTCTAACTCCTATCATAGTGCGAAACTGTTCGAATCTTGCTCTCGGCAATGCCTTTGTGAATATGTCAGCAACTTGCTCTTCGGTCTTACAATACTCCATCTTGATTTCTTTAGTTGTTTCTACTTCTATGTTGAAGTGATATTTAATTGCAATGTGTTTTGTCCTGCTATGATGTACTAGATTTTTTGTCATTGCTATTGCTGATTTATTGTCGCAGTAGATTGTAGTAGGGCCATCTTGTTGTCCTCCCATTTCTGCAAGTATTCTTCGTAGCCAAATTGCTTGACTTGTAGCTTCAGCCACTACAACATATTTTGCCTCTGCGGTTTATTGTGCAACTGTTGCTTGCTTTTTTGATGCCCAAGAAAATATTCCTGATCCAAGTGAGAAGGCATAACCAGAGGTGCTCTTCATGTCATCTACCGATCCTACCCAATCACTATCGGTGTATCCGAGCAAACTTGAGTTGGTCATTGTTTTGTACCAAATACCAAACTCCTTCGTGCCTTGTAGGTATCTTAGAATTCTTTTAGCTGCTCCAAAGTGAATTTGGCTTGGTTTTTGCATAAACCTTGATAAAAGGCTTACAGCATACATTATGTCTGGTCGTGTGGCTGTTAAATATAGTAAGCTTCCAATCAAACTTCTATAGCGAGATGCATCAGCATCTGGTGCTCCATCATCTTTCTGTAGCTTCTCCTTTGTCACAAGCGGAGACCTTGCAACCACTCATCTTGAACTTCTTCAAGAGAGCTTCAGTGTATTTCTTTTGACAAAAGAATATCCCTTTCTTATTTTGACTTACCTCAATACCAAGGAAGTAGTTCATCAAGCCAAGGTCCATCATTTCAAATGTCTTCATCATGTCTTCTTTGAATTCTGTTATCATCTTCATATTGTTTCCTATGTAGATAAGATCATCTACATACAAGGAGATGATGAGTGTGTCATACTGACCTTGGGTCTTGATGTATAGTGTTGGCTCACTCTTACTCCTCCTGAATCCATGATCAATGAAGTATTGATCTATTCTGCTGTACCATGCTCGAGGAGCTTACTTCAGACCATATAAAGCTTTTCTAGGCCTTAGTACTTTGTCTTCATTTCCCTTGCTTATGAAACCTTGTGGTTTCTCTACATAGATCTCTTCTTGTAGTACTCCATTGAGAAAAGTGGACTTGACATCTAACTAGTAGATATTCCAACCTTTTTCTGGCGCAAGAGCTATTAGAGCTCTAATTGTATCTAGGCGTGCTACTAGGACAAATATCTCGTTGTAGTCGACTCTAGGTTGTTGTGAATAGCCCTTAGCTACCAACCTTGCCTTGTGCTTTTGTATGGTGCCATCCTGATTGAGCTTTGTCTTGTAAGCCCATTTTACCTCAATGATATCTTTGTCTTTTGGATAGTCTACTAGATCCATGTGTTATTTTTCTCAATCATTTTTATCTCTTCTTCCATAGCCTTGACTCATACTTGTTGCTTTGATGCTGCTTCAAAGCTTTCAGGTTCAAGTATGGCAAAGTTGCAGGTTTCATATATATCCTCCAAGGATCTAACTCATCTTGGAGTAGACTCTGGTGATGGAGTTTGTTGTTGTGGAGGAGAATGAAGCTCACCTAGGACTTTTGCAGTTCCTTCTTCTAGTTGCTACATTGAAATAGAAATTTTTCTCTCTACTTTCTCGTCATTCCAATTCCAAGATGCATTTTCATCAACTTCAATGTCTCGGCTAATAGTCAGTTTCTTGGTTTGCAAGTTGTAGACTCGGTAGCCTTTTGACTGTGTGATATATCCAAGGAAGATACCTCATATTGTCTTGTCTTCTAGCTTGTACCTTTTCTCTTCCGGAATGTGTATGTAGCAAATAGATCCAAATACCCTTAGGTGCTTTGCTGATGGTTTTTTCCCACTCCAGGCTTCAATCGGAGTCTTATCTTTGATTGCCTTACTTGGGCATCTATTAAGTATGTAGACAGCAGTATAAACTACTTCGCCCAAAATGCGTTTGGTAATCCTTTCTCCTTGAGCATTGATCTAGCCATCTCCATTACTATGCGGTTTTTCCTTTCAGATACTCCATTTTGTTGTGGAAAATATGCAATTGTAAGTTGTCGCTCAATGCCTTCATCTTCGCAAAATTTATCAAACTCATGAGAAGTGTACTCTTTTCCATGATCACTTCTAAGTACTTTTATTTGTTTGCCACTTTGCTTTTTGGCAAGGGTCTTAAACTTCTTGAAAATACCAAAGACTTCTGATTTTGCTTTTATGAAGTAGACCCAAGTCATTCTAGAAAAATCATCTATGAAGAGAATGAAATACATGTTGTTATGGAGTGACGACATCCTCATTGGTCCATATATATCTGTATGGATCAGCTCCAACAAGTCCTTTGCTCTCCATGCTTTGCTTATTGAAAATGGCAGTCGGTGTTTCTTGCCAATGAGACATCCTTCACAAGCTTCACTATTCTCCTTTAGGCATGGGAGATCTCTCATCATATTTTTTTGATATAATAACTTTAAGGCATGCGTATTAAAGTGGCCAAATCTTCGATGCCAAAGCCATGAGTCGTCTACTTCTGCTTTCATGGCAATGTTAGGGCCTTGTCTTAGGCTTATAGGGAAACTTCTATTCCTATTCTCCATTTTACTCGACCAATTTCTAGTTTTTTATTGTCATATATTTTACATGTGTATCCTTCGAAATGGAGAGTATAACCTTTCTCCATTATTTGGCCAATGCTTAAGAGGTTTTCTTTAAGATTGGGAACTAGTAGAACATCAGTAATAAGTCTCGTACCTTTCTTCGTCTCCACCATAATAGTGCCTTTGCTTTTTGATTCAACGACAGTGTCGTTCTCCATTCAAACTTTCACCTTGACGGATTCATCAATATCCTTGAAGATGCTTGCATCTTTGGCCATGTGATGCTGTAGTCACTATCCAAGTACCAATTTCTACTTGTTTCACTATTGGAATCTTGGGTAGCACAGAAAAGATGTTGCTCACCATTTTTCTCTTTAGCAAAGTTTGTTTGATGCTTATTTTTATTGCGGCAATACTTCTCCACATGTCCAACTTTGTTACAGTGGCGACATTGTGGCTTTCCACGATATCGACAGTCTTTCTCGTCATGATTTGTCCTCTTGCAAATGTCGCATGGAGGATATTCATTTTGATAATTTCTAGAGAAATTTCTAGAATTCTCTTTATTTCTAGAAGTTTCTCCATTATTCCTTTTATCTTTATTATGAGACCGTAATTTGAGCTTTGATTGAAAGGCATTTTCAGTTGAGTCCTCATCATGCTTATTCAACCTTTGCTTATAAGCTTCAAGTGACCCCATCAACTCTGTAACTGATAAGGTAGATAGATCTTTTGTTTGCTTAATTGTTGTCACGATTGGATCATATTTACGGGGAACACTAATTAGGATTTTTTCCATAATTTTCTTGTCAAGAATATTTTTCCCGTACGCTCTCATTTGGTTAACTATTTCTTTTATCCTATAATAGTAGTCATTTACAGTCCTAGATTCCTTCATATTTAACAATTCAAAGTTACGCCATAGAGTTTGTAATTTTACAGCACGTACCTTTTCACTTCCTTCGAACTCCTCCTGCAACGTAGTCCATGCTTCTTTGGCTGTTGTTGCACCCATTATTCTTGAAAAAATTGTGTCGGTCTTAGCTTGTTGCAAAATGAATAACGCCTTTGAATTATTTTGTTTGTTCTCTTTTAACTTCTTTTTTTTAGCCGTAGTAAGGGTTGAGGTATTTTCTGGAGTAGAAAATCTTTCTTCTATCGTGTCCCATAAATCTTGAAAGGTGAAATATGTCTTCAATTTTGTACTCCAAAAATCATAATTTTCACCATTAAAAATGGGAATAGGGATAGATGATGGTTGAATGGTGGTAGCCATGGATTAGAATTTATTTTTTTGAAAGTGGGTAGAATATTGGGAAATTTTTTTTGGAAGTAGTGGGGTAATATTTCTACGCCCAGTATATGACCGAACGTAGCTCTGATACCATTGTTAGTTTATGAATTATCAAATAGTAAAAACTTATTTGATTGGTAGAAGGAATGGGGAGGAAAATTTATAATGATAGTTGAGAGTAAAACTAGTTTAAAGGAATAGGAATAAATTTGAGTAGTGAAAATGACTTACTAGTTGCTTGAATACAAATGTTGGGTACATGGCCTATTTATAGGCCTCAACACCACATTCATGGTTTATGTAGAAAATTCTAGAGATATCTATTTCTAAAGTTTTCTATCTATATGTAATTATCTACATGATTCTAGAATTTGTATCTAGTAGTTACTAGCATACTTATGTATTTTTCTATAAGAATCTAGATTATTCTAGAAGTTTGTATCATATTTTAACACTCCTCCTTGATACAAATTTCTCTAACTCCTATCATAGTGCGAAACTGTTCGAATCTTGCTCTCGGCAATGCCTTTGTGAATATGTCAGCAACTTGCTCTTCATAATGATAGTTGAGAGTAAAACTAGTTTAAAGGAATAGGAATAAATTTGAGTAGTGAAAATGACTTACTAGTTGCTTGAATACAAATGTTGGGTACATGGCCTATTTATAGGCCTCAACACCACATTCATGGTTTATGTAGAAAATTCTAGAGATATCTATTTCTAAAGTTTTCTATCTATATGTAATTATCTACATGATTCTAGAATTTGTATCTAGTAGTTACTAGCATACTTATGTATTTTTCTATAAGAATCTAGATTATTCTAGAAGTTTGTATCATATTTTAACATATGCTCTCTGATCCCTTCCACTGCCAAATGATCTTAAAAATAGGATACGTCAGCCTATCATTTTCTAGAAGAAGAGAAAGATATGCTGACTTTAGGGTAAACACACTAGAGGATGATGCACCCCATACCAAAACATCTTCATCAACTGTCAAAGAAAGAGGAGCTTACGCTATCAGCTCATGCCATATTGTCATAAGAAGCATATCCTTGACCAAATCCAGATTCCTGCAGCCATCACCATTAATATATGTAGCCACTAAATTGTTTTGCTTATCCTCTGGCATGGTTTGATTCACAACTTCCATCAATCTCGTACGTAAGGGAAACCACAGATCCTTCTAGAATAACCTTGTAGTAACATCACCAATATTCCATGCAGTGCCACTTTGGACAACCTCCCAAGCGTTGTGAATCCCCTACCAACAATTTGAACTATTTTGTCTCTTCACAACAATGGGTAAGACTGACAATCCACACTTATACTTTGCACGAAGTACTTGGACCCATAACTTGTCTGGTTTGATGCATAACGACCAACAATTTTTCATCATTAGACCCTTATTAACTAATCAGGTTTCCTTCAAGCTAAGGCCTCCCTCCAGTTTTGGCTTACACAACAAAGGCCAACATAAGGCATGGATTTAACGTTGCTCAATAGTATGACCCCAAAAGAAAGATCTACTAACCTTATAAATATCATTTTTTGAGAAAAAGATACATGTTTTCTCTTGACTCACCTTTTGACTCGAGCTTTTGTAGAACAATTCTAAACAAGTTTGAATAATCTCTACTTGATCCATTGACGCTTCCGATAAGAGAATAAGATCATCCATGAAAGCCAAATAGGATAGAAAAGGACCATTCTTTGATAACTGAATCAATTTCTAGAGTTTATGTGTAATTGCTAATTCAATAATATGAAATAAACACTCTATACATAGCACAAACAAGTATGGAGACAAAAGATCACCTTGACGAAGGCCACTAGAAGGAAAGAACTCCTGAAGAGATTTGTCGTTCTAAAGCACACGAAAGGAAGGAGTAGAAATACAATATCATACCAGATCAAAAAAATTTTGAGGAAGACCAATATCTAATAGAGTATCTTTAATGAAATTCCAATTTAAGTGGTCATAAGCTTTCTCAAGATCAATTTTGATAGCCATCCATCCTTTCTTTCCTTTCCTATGTTTCATGGAGTGAATCACTTCCTATGTTATATTAATATTGTTTGTAATCTGCCTATGGGGAATGAAACTACATTGATTTGGACACACTAGTCCTTCCATCACTTGCCGAAGACAAGTTGTTAACACTTTGGTGATAATCTTATAAGAGACATTACAGAGGCCAACAGGTCGCATATGTTTTAAAGAGGTAACATTTTCCATTTTTTGGAATGAGGGTAATAAATGTTTGGTTTATCTCAACAACTTTACTAGGAGTACCTTCAATTAATAGTATTAATCATATTACACAAATCTAGTCCGACAATTTTCCATTGGGATTATAAAAAAATTGCATGCAACCCGTCCGGGCTTGGCGCCTTCAGGCCACCCATTCTTCTTAATGCACTGTGTATTTCTGTATTTGAAAGTGGGCGAGCAAGATGATTAGTATCAATAGAACCTAAACTAGGGACAGACGTAGATACACAATACAGTTCATAATCATTGGTTTCTGTAAACAGCCTTTGGTAGAAGACTATGACCATTTCTTCTAGTTTTTGCTTATCACTAATCCATTCACCTTCGTCATTCTGTAAAGTGACCACTCAATTTCTTCTTCTACAAAAAAGAGTTGACCCATGGAAGAATTTGGTATTTTTATCTCTAAATTCTAGCCATTTACAATGTAACTTTTGGAACCATAGGATTTCCTCTCACAACAAGATTTTTTAATACTCAAACCAAAGCTCCTGTTGTAGGTTTAGAAGGAAAGGTGTCGCTTCTTGCATGAGCTTGTGAGCAATTCCATTCAAAAGTTGGCGTAACTTTCTCTTAGTAAAGAATACATTTCCAAAAGTAGACCTATTCCAGTTGAGTTAAGAATGCTTAATATTCTTCACCTTGTTGGACCAATCATGCTCTTCACTCCACCATTGCAAAACTAAATCTGAGAAATCAAGATGAGTGAGCCACGCTACTTCAAATTGAAAGGGTCTCTGACCTCTTTTAAGGACTATTGAAGGCTGCAATTAGACTAGAATAGGACTATGATCTGATTAATATAGGTTTAGATGGAAGACATCAGCATCAGGAAAATTGACTACCATTCCAAATTAACTAATACTCAATCCAATTATTCATACAGAGCACCACGTTTTCAAGTAAACGAAGCACCCTGATACCCCATATCCATAAGATTTGAAGCATTAAAAAACTCCCTAAAAGCTAAATCACTCCTCAAGTAGACAGATTGAACACCACCTTTTCTTTCATGGTCATGCAGAATAGCATTGAAATCCCCCAAGACACACCAAGGAGCGGTCATTGAAGTAGCCAAGCATCTAGGTTTCTCCATAAATCAATCCTCTATTGAGAGTGAGGACTAGCATACACTACCGTTAGGAACCAAGAGCCAAAAGCATTCATTACTGAGAAGTGAAAATATTGAAAGCATTGTTCAATTACCGTGAGAGTCCATTGAGAAGACTCCTAAAAGCACCATATTCCACTCGCTCAGCCTTGACCTTCAACTAGAAAAGACTTGTCAAGGTGTATATGATGAATATTTTGAGATGCCCGTTGGTTACTAACTTGCGTTTCTAGTAAGCAAAGAACCCTAATATCATATTCACGAAGTAGATCATTAACCAGAGGGATAAAACTTTTGCACCTAGTACCCCTACAATTCCAACTAAGGATATTCATCATTAACAGTTGGCTATTTTGGGTTGAGAAACCCTGGAGACACGACTTGAGATAGACCCAGGTGGTCCATCTTCTTTATTCATGGAAGAGTTCTCTCCCTCAATCATGAAATGTTTGCACAATGTAGACGTAATAACCAGTGTGTCATTGTCAGGACCATGCACATAGGTAACCAAGTTATGGATTAAACTTGAAGCACCTTCCAAAGTTTCCATATTTTTTAGTCCATTTAGAACCAAAGACGTATTTTCCTTCTCACGTGTTGCATGGGTTTCTTTCGACCATGTAGCATAAGGGGTTATAACATTATCGTTCTCATATCCTATCAAGTTTGACTTTGTAACTAGAACACGTGGATTTTTGATCCTTTGCTTTAGGAGAAGACATTAATAGTACCCTTCCCCAGATTTAATTGGGAATTTTTCCCTCCCAACGTACTATGAATCTTTATGGTTGTTTTCGGATTTGATTGCGGTTGGACCACATTTTGGTTTGGTGGGATCATTATTGAAGCATTTGCTCAATCACGTGGAAAAGTTTCACATGTATCATTAAAAACATTTTTAAATTCAAAATTATTTGTAAATGTCCCACCTTTTTTTGATTCATTAATCTTTTTCGCATTATGCATGCGAAAATTCGAAGAAACTAGGCCATGTAACTTGGACTATTTTTTTTCTTGTTAACAATCATTCGGGGTCCATATCTTTCCTCCAAATCTATAGATATAGAAATCTTAACAGACCTTTTAGGCTCCTTCGTCACTAGTGAGACTCCCTTATCCGACAGTTTGGTAGAATCTCCTTCAACATCCATCTCCAGTCCTTTCTTAATTGATCTAGTGCCTTGTGCAAGAGGTGCATTTGGGTTAGAATAATGTTGTTGCTTATAACCATATTTACCACAAGTAAAGCATATGGAATGGAGGCCTTCATACTCCAAACAGAGTATATTCCCTAGTACATTAATCTTGGACACTAACTTTTTTTGTAAATCGAC